GCCAAATACAATAATATAATTCATGAAATACAAATACCTCCTCTACTTTTGAATACAGTATCAGAATTTTATTTATTTATACTTCTCATTCAACCACAATTAAATTCACTATCTAGGAGGCAAAATTTGTATGGATAGTATTTATTTTTTACAATAACATTCTGAAATAAAAACAAGGATTTTCTACTTCTTTGCTTTTTTAAAAATGTAAGGAGCAGAAAGTACAGATAATTGTGTGAAAATATAAGGAGCAGAAGTAAAAAGTAGGCTGAAAAATAGTTACTCAAGTAAAGTACAGATACCCAAAAATTCTACTCAAGTACAGCAAAGAGGTATTTGTACTTAGTTACTTTACAACTCTGAACTTTTGTAAAAGTAGTTTCATAACTTGCGGCTGGAACGTAGTAAAGTTGGTGGCGATGTCATTCCCAAATCTGAGTTTCAGCTTTTAAGAGTTTGTAGAATGCATCAGTAATTTAATGTTTGATGAATTTGTTTTAAATGCATAGGTCAGCTCATCTGAAATGATTTTTTTGTGAAAACATTCTGAACAATATTTGAACGTCCTAAATTTTGAGAAATAGAGTTTACATCTGACCAGAGTAACACTGTTTTGCTTCAAAACAACCAGAGGTAACCTGCAGGCTTCTGGAATTAAAAGTATACAGACRCTCAAGAACACTGTCAAAATCATGCTTGGGAAGAACTGATCTTTCCATGTGCAAAAAGTTTTAAACCCRCCATAAAGTCAAAGTGCRAAGAAAGCACCCAAGAACCTCAACRAGCTTGAAGAAATCTGGTCGGAGATTATTTTTAAATGATTAAACGAAAGCCCGGCTCCTTAAAAGCAAGGCATACAATTATGGAATAAGATGCGGATCACCTCCCTCTCCTATGAAAATGTTCCAGGATTTGCCGCTCGCTGACGTATCGAGCAGTCAGAACCTGTTTTGTGCACGCAGCTCATCCGTACAGCCGAGGGGAACGATGCGCTCCCCGCTGAGACCTGGACGTAAATAACCCGCTCTCCATCATGAATGCAAAGCCCTTCAGGCCACACCCTATACTTTGTGGCTGCCCTAACTCACATTATATTCATTTATTCTGGTTTCATCCCTCCCCCTCCTTCTCCTGATGTGTGTTTTTTTTCTCCTGTTACTCTGCTCATGCGGACATAAAACCTCTCTTCCTTCCACCAAGCTACAGTAGAATGTGATGGAAGGTGAAGGCGTGCACCGTTATGTTGATGGAAGGCGGATCAAATACGTTTTCTCAAACACCAAAAAAAACATTCTGATTTTGGTTTCTTGTAGGGGGAGGATGTTATTTTCTGTTTTATTAATGTGCAAAAATAAAAGTAACAAAATCCAACAAGTAAGTAACAAAAGCAAATAATGGCTTCCGTGTGTTTTTGTATTCAGGGTAAGGCTCAAACGTTAATCCTGCCAGTGGTTATTGAAATTCTTCCAGTGCGCCCTGTGTTTTCATGCATGTGTGTTCTTCTATAAATACACTGTACATACACTGTATATGGATTGGTGTATTGTGCATGTGTGTGTTTGTCCAGGCCAGGCTGCAGGACAGATGTATACGTATCCCGCTCGCTGCTGGAGAAAGAAGCGGCGACTCCACCCTCCGCTGGATCCCCAGCTCCGACTGTGCGAGCTTCGATTAGGTAAGACGAAGAAAGAAATAATATATAGATGCAAAGAATAAAGCAGTACTGATGCACGGTTTGACAATAAAATCCATTCTAACTCAAGTATCTTGTTTAGTTTTTGCAAATCACTTTCACTTAAATGCAAACTTGCATCRTTTCCTTTGATATTTGGCCATCTGGCTCTGGTTAGCCTCTGTTTCACCAGGTCTCCAGGTTCATTCTCTGCCTCGATTCAATGCTTCCTCTCACTGTTCTGTCGCTGTACACACACACACACACACACACACACACACACACACACACACACAC